CAGATTATTGTGATAGATTGAATGATGACATAGACGGCTTGCTACGCGATAGTTTTCCAGAAGGTCCTAATGAAGAGGCAACTAAATTTTACAAGTTGGTGGAAGAAAGTCAACAAGAATTGTATCCCGGATGCAAGGATTTCTCAAAACTTTCCTTTACCATCAGGCTTTTTGTTTTTAAGCGGGATCACAAGTTGAGTAATGCTGCATTTGATGATTTATTGGAACTTCTAAAGGCTCTCCAACCCCATGCGAACATTCCATCCTCATTTACAGAAGCTAATACTATGCTGAAAGTATTAGGTCTTGATTATATAAGGATAGATGCATGCCGTAATGATTGTATGTTGTTCTGGGAGGAGCATGCAAATGAAACAAGATGCCATGTTTGTAAGACTTCCAGATGGAAGTCAAAAACCAATGATGAGACAACAAAAAAACATCACCAAGTTCCTGCAAAGGTTTTAAGGTATTTCCCAATCAAGAAAAGATTACAGAGGCTGTACATGTGTTCAGAAACTGCACAGTATATGACATGGCACACAAGTGGACGCAAAGATGATGGACTAATAAGACATCCAGCCGATGGTAAATCTTGGAAGAGCTTTGACTTACGTTTTCAGGAGTTCTCAAAAGAGCCTCGGAATGTGAGGTTAGCATTAGCAACTGATGGGTTCAGCCCTTTCAATACGATGAGCATTACCCATAGCACATGGCCAGTTATGTTGATCAATTATAATTTACCACCATGGATGTGCATGAAGCCTGAGTTCATTATGCTAACTCTATTAATACCGGGACCCTTTTCTCCAGGAAATGACATCGATATATACTTGCAACCACTGATCAAAGATCTGAAAGAGTTATGGGATTCTGGGATTGAAACTTATGATTCTTCAAGAGATAAAATGTTTAATATGCGTGTGGCTCTGTTGTCGACAATTAGTGACTTCCCTGGTTACGCAATGCTATCTGGATGGAGCACCAAAGGGAAAACAGCCTGCCCAAATTGTCATTATGAAACATGTTCACAATATCTAAAACACAGTAAAAAAATGTGTTATATGGGTCATCGGAGGTTCCTGGACAGGTACCACCCATATAGAAGATGCAAAAGGCAATTTAATGGAAAGGTAGAGGATAAAGTTGCACCAACTCGCTTGTTAGGGATTGAAGTTTTTGAATTATTATCTAATTATCAAAACAAATTTGGAAAAGACATAAAAAAGAAGAAGAAGAAGAGGCTTGATGATAATCCATGGAGGAAAAGGTCAATATTTTTCGATCTCCCATACTGGAAATATGTTTTATGCCCCCATTCTCTTGATGTTATGCACGTAGAGAAAAACATATTCGATAATATTGTTGGGACTTTGCTAAATATTTCTGGGAAGACCAAGGATCATATGAAAGCACGAATGGATTTAGTTGAACTCAATATCATGCATGAGCTCCAACCGAAGGAAAGTGAAGATGGTAAGCGAATTCAAATTGCAAAATCACGCTTTTGGATGACTGAGGAAGAAAAGCGAACATTCTGCCATGTTATCAAAAGTGCTAAGTTACCGCAAGGGTGTAGTGGCAACATATCAAGATGCGTTCAAGTTGATGACAAAAATATTTCAGGATACAAAAGTCATGATGCTCACTTTATGATGCAATATTTACTGCCCATTGCAGTTAGATCAACGCTACACAAGGATGTAGCTGTCCCATTAATGAGATTAAGTGCATTTTTCAAGGGCATATGCAATAAAGCTATTAAGTCAGAGGACCTTGATAAGTTGCAATTAGAGATCACAGAGACCCTTTGTCAGTTTGAGAGAATATTCCCACCCAGCTTTTTCGATGTAATGGTTCATTTACCTATTCACTTAGTTGAGGAAATTAAGAATGGTGGGTCTGTTTTGACAAGATGGATGTATGCAATCGAAAGATACCTCCGTAAGTTGAAGTTATATGTTAGAAACAAGGGTCGTCCCGAGGGATCAATGGCTGAAGCATACATAGCTGAAGAGTGTGTCACATTCTGTGCTAGGTACTTGCATGTAGATGTGAAGGATAGATGTGATAAATTGAAAACAAGGTCATGTGATGGTGCTGAAATTGATCAAAACCCGCCTATTTTTCCAGAGATGGGTCACCCTATATCTGGAAGAGGAAGGAAAAAAAAGAACAAAGAAGAACATGGTGAATACAATATTGATCTAGCTACCTTAGCTCAAGCTCACCGTTATGTGATATTCAATTGTAACAATGAAGATGTTGAAAAATATATCAGGTAATATATTTAGAATATATTTAAGTTTTAAAATTTAAGTATTAATATGTATTAACATCATGACTAGATTTTTATGTATCGGTGCAGTGAACACAATGCGATTGTTACTAGCCGACAAAAGCGAAAATGGAGTAGTGCTCAAAGACATGGAAGAGATTTTACCGATTGGTTTAGAGAGAAAGTCGAAGAGGAGCTAGGCCTTGGCCATGTTCTTCCAGATCATATCAGATGGTTATCTGTAGGACCATCATTCATTGCTAAAAGATATACAGGATATTTTGTTAATGGTTATAGGTTCCACACTATGAAACGTGATGCAAATTGTCTTACTGAAAATAGTGGGGTCACACTAACGGCATTGACTCAAAGTTTTGCGAGTAGTAAGGATCAAAATCCAATCACAGGAGATGTTACTTATTATGGCTCAATAAAAGAAATAATTGAGATACACTATCATGATAAATGCACGGTTGTATTGTTCAAGTGTTTGTGGTTTCATGCTGAAAAAGATGAATACGGGCTTACACGAGTTAATGTGAAAAAACTTGTTAGTGAAGAGGAGCCATTCATCTTGGCAACTCAAGCACAACAAGTGTTCTATGTGGATGACCCAAATAATGAAGGATGGCGTTATGTTATCCACAATCTTCCTACTGATAATAGCATTGAAAATGATGATATGAATGATGATTCTGGAGATCCGGGCTTGTTAGATGTTAACTCCTCTGTTTGTGAGAAGATTCTTGGTATTGATCCTGAGGATGAAATAACACGCGTCAGAGTAGATGTGCCTGCAACAGTAATTGACAAGGAAACAATGATTGTAGAATTGGAAAGAGATTTGAATGATAGGCCACTGATGGCATGACGTATATTGTTAGTGTGTTATGTCTTATTTTTAATGTTTAGTTGCAGATGATTTTAAACATTTGCATTTTAATTTACATTTGAATTTTGCTTGTGTTACAGCAGTATCATATCTATTTATGCGAATAACTTTTTTCTAATGTGAAATACATCATTCTCTCAGGCATTGCTCGATTTTGTCAACAAATGGGAAAAAGAAAAGTTTCACCACCTCAGCTGGGTGCAGGTTTAACAGAGTATGAAATAAATAGACTAAAAAAGCTGCAATTCAATGCTTCAAGGATGGAAGCTGCGGGCTTCAAAACTCTGGCCAACAACGTGCTACTGCCACAATATAACATAAATGAAAGAAGACTTGTAGATGATGATGTATCAGAAGAAGAAGAAGATCAAGAAGGGTATGGAGCTAGTTATATTGATGAGGGTGAAGCACAAAACAAGGTATTCTGAGTCATTGTTAACACTTTATGATTGAATTGGCATAAGTATTTGTCATATTTTAATGAAATCTGATCAATTTATCCAGGCTTTATGGAGTGATAAGAATCAAACACTTAAAGGAGCAAGACATTCTTTGGCAGAAAAAATGACCATGGCTGAGTTTGCAAAGTTAAGATCTCAAAAAAGACAAAAATCAAAGAGTAGTGCTACTAAAAGACTGATCGATGAAGATGTATTACACGGAAAAGAAGATAGGCAAAATGAGGTACTTATTTCTTGTTAAACCTAGTTATGCAATAATTAAAATATAATGATATACTTTTTTTAAAGTGTGAAATGGATAAAGCCACACACAAAATGAGAATTAAATGCACAAATAAGGCAAGCCCAAAATATCCAGATGAGTTACTCCCGCTACCTCCCTGCAAACATCTGCGAGCTTCTATAAAAATAACTTCCCAGCAGCTTCTGTAGAAATATGTAGATGAATGGCATCATGTTTAATAACATCCCAGGAGCTTCAGTTAAAATTCCAAGTAATAAAGCCATGCATTCCCTCTATTGTAGGGTAACATTCCCACCTCTCTTTAATAAAAGGCCTAATGTATCAAAGTCTGTCAAAACGATCTAATTGACCAAGTATCTATACATCAAGGCACTCCCACACCCTCCCACTAGATTTGACCAGACCAAGTAAACACAGATCTAATAATAGGAAGCTGAGATAATGGCATACTTATTATACATTAATTTTTGTTTAAATGTATTATTCTTCATATGAAATCAAAGAAAGAACAAGAGAAATGTTTTATTGTCTCAGGTGTTGTCTATGATCAATTTTTCTAATCCAAGACCTGAAACTCCCTGTGGATCTTCACAAGTAAAAGATCATCAAGCAATACATCAACAACAGAATATGGAGATCAGAAGTCTAAGATCAAACAAAAAAGAAAATCAAAGACTTGGAAAGCCGCAAGTTCAGCAACGACAAAAGTCAAAAGAAATGGCAACATCAGGTGCATATTTGAAGAATTCTCAATTCTGTCCGCCAGGCTCCCTAGCTATGTACATGACAATGCGCAAAAGACAACACGAACAAAAGAAGCAAGAGGGGATGCAACATCAAGAAAATATGCACAGTGAGTCTCTTTTTGAGGAACAATCTGGAAATGTTTTAACAAATAGGAATGAAGACAATGTTTGTGTGGAACACATATCAGAAGATGATGATCAAGTAGTTCACATCGACAAAAGTGTCGAGGTTAATGGAAATGGTGTGGACCATGAATATCAAGAAACAAATGAAGATACCATCATTCCAGGTAATATCTATTAAAATGTCATGTTTGCATTATTCTAAGTAATATTTATTTATTCTTATTTATTTTGTAACTAATAGCAAAGGGTCAAAGGAAGAAAAGAGGGCCTACGACTATGATAGATGTGCATCGACGTAAACCTGATGAGCGTGAACTAATTATTCTGAATGCAAATGGGCAACCCATTGGACCTACCAGAGAGTGTGTTACTAAATTTAGTCGGTTTCTGGGAACATTGGCTAAATCTCCTCATCTAGCACCTCTGAATTGTGCTAGTTGGATATATATGCCCACAAAGGAGAAGATCTGGAAATATGTGAAGGTAGAATTTCTAAATTTTACTATTTATTTTATGTAAGTTGTTGAATGGATTATATAATACATTCTTCAAATATTCAACACATTTCAATTATAATATATGATAATACATACATGACTAAATATAATGAAATAGATATTATTTTTTTAGTTAATATATTCTAGGTATATAATATATATTCCAATAACTATTATGCTAATAATATATTTAAGACATGCCTATATTTAATGACTATTATGCTCCTCTTTCTTAACCATCTTGCTGGAACAAACTATTTTTTCTTCCTTATAACCGACTAGAATAAACTATTACTTTAAACCAGCAAGAATAAATTCATCCTTAATATGTTAAGATCAATTAAACAAACAAAGGTAAAATAAGTGTACATGGAATTCGTATAAAAACTTCACCTTGTTTTTTTTTTCTTTTCATTATAAATGGTTGTTTTTTGAAGTGGATATTACAAAGCAGCAGACATTTCTAAATTTAGCCATAGAAGCTAGGTAAGTTGTTGAATGAATTATAATTATCAAATTTTATGTAGGAGAGATATATCATTGCCGAGGAAGGAAAAAAATGGGTTTTGGAAACTACGAATGCTTTGTGGCGTGTTCATAAGTCAAGGTTTAAAAAGGAACACTACAATTCATTTGAAACTGATGAAGAAAGATTGGCATTTCGTCCAAAAAATATTCCGGTAAAGCAATTTGAAGAACTCCTAGAGTACTGGGATTCTGATATGTCTAAGGTATTCAACAGATTTCAATTATATTGATGTCAGTGTGCTATGCAATTTTTTATTTTTGAATGAGTTGTATATGTAGGAAATATGTGACAAAAACACAAAGAGTTGTGCATTACGAAGTGATGTGCATACCATGGGCCCTTCATCTTATGCTCTATTACGCCATGAACTGGTAATGGATATATTTTTTAACGGAAGGGCATTTCTGTAATATCATATTGTATGGTGCTTTGTTGATAGAATTAATTATATTGAGTAACATGTGTATATTGTTCTTTTTGTAGCAACAAAACGACCAAAATAATCAAGCACCCACTCAAGCAAAAGTCTATAAAGAGTCTAGAAAACGAGATCCTAAACGAGTTTATAAGTCAAACAGCGAGAAGACATTGCAAAACATTGTAAGTTACACATTTAGTTTTTAAAATGTAGAAGATGAATAAAATTTAATTGCTAAAAATAAAATTGATATCATATTCATTATCTTTCATTCTTTTGTATAGGAAGCAATAAATGTACAAGAATCTCAACATGATAAAGAAGCAGAAAGTAACTCCTTGAAGGATGCTTATTGTGAGGTTGTAGATAATGGGCATTTACGTCTTTATGGAAGAGGTGCAACCAAATCTAAGCTAAATAAAAAGAGTAAAGTTGCTGCGCCTAGCTACATATGTCCTCCTGAATTCTTTCAGAGTATCAAGGAAAACCTCATCCGTGAGTTAGCTCCAGTATTAACATCTGCAGTTGTGTCACAAATACAAGCAGCCAATCCTGGGATTCAACTTAAAGTTCCTGAAATTTTTGTTGCTTCAGAAGATACTCCATGTGCTAGGTCTTGTTTATTTAAGGTAATTGCTCATTTCACTAATTGCTGTTTTAGGAGTTTGATGCTTTTAAGTTATGGTGTTATATGTTTAGCTAGCAAGTACTGAATTCATGCCTAATAGCATTTGAAAGTTTAACAGTTAAAATAAAGGAATGTATATTTGTTGTCACAGAAATGTTCAAATTTGGGGTTGCCAAGAGTAGTGGTTTGATAGAAGAATAGTTAAAACAAAAAAATCATATATATTATTGAAAAAAGATTAGTTTTGGTTAATTAGCTTTATTTTTTCAGTAATTGAATTGATCATTCTTCTCCAGAATTGAAAAAACCAATTTAATTCTTTCTACTCAATCATTTCAACTAATTTGAGTTTGGTTTATTTCAATTTGCAGGATAATGAAAACTCAGACTCGGAATCTATTGACTAGAAAAGCTTGGCTATGCGTAGCAGTAGATCGTGATGATGGAACTTTAAGTATAAAATTGTTTTTTTTTGCTGAGAGCTAAATTTTTGGAGACATTAGAAAGTTGTTCGGTCTAGACCATTTACTATCTTTTAATTTAGACTCTCTCTTAACTTTATGCTTATGTAGTGAATGTTGTCATGATGGAGTTATGTTGAATTTATATATATAATTAATTTGATGAATTTTCTTTTGTTGGCAATAATATATGTGCAATCTCTGATAATATATGAAGCATATATAGTGTATATATTGTGTGGATGTATATTTATAGGGTGTACCTACATATAATGTAACATAATTTCAAAAGTGTAACACTTTATAATAATGTAACAGTTGTTCTCAAATGTAACACTTTATTCTAATGTAACAATTCTTCTCAAATGTAACACTTTATAATAATGTAACAGTTTTTTTTTAAATGTAACAGTTGTATTGTCTTTACTAAAAGTGTTACATTTGGAATTAAAAGTGTTACAATAGGTCAAATGCAACGCAAGCAAATGTAACTGGCGAAAAGTGTTACCTTTTTTATAAATGTAACACTTTCAGATGATATTGTAATACATTCGAATGTTACATTAGATGCTTAAATGTAGTAGTGGATTAAGGTTGTAATTGTTTGATACTTTGATAAATATGTGATTGATTGATTGATTGATAGTATAAGTAGTTGCTGTAACTAATTACGAATAATATTAAAATGCAGACTTTTTCACAGAAACTACTAAGCATAACTTTTCAATTAAAAAAAGTCTTTAAAATTGATCAATGAAAATATATAATTAAAAGTTTTTAATGACTTTTAAATAATACAAAAACTAGAAGTTAGGTAAAAAGACTTATGCATGCTTAGGAAACATACACATAGTATCACATGATTTTTTAATGTATTCCATATTCCTTTGCCAACCCAGAACTCCTCACGATGACATTATCAATTTGTTAAGCTCCTATAGCTAATGCATCTCTTCCCTTCCTTCCAGCCATGAGCCATGACCAACTTTGAGAGACCACTAGCTATATGTCCCAATGGCAGCAACGCTTTTGCCAATGTTGTGAATTTCGATGATTTGTCTATGAAGCTCTCGTTGTAATTCTTCATCCTCTGATTTTGAAAGCCCTTATTACCATTTCTTCCCTGAACAATCAAGGCATGAAAGTCACTAAACATATACACATTTTAACCTTTCTTTAAATTAAAGGTAATCCATATCTTTGTTAGACATAAAGACCAAATACACAAACATAGGTGGACTTTTGTCATATTATAGTTATACAACAATTCCAATACCAAACTTCTACGATGTGTTGTGACTCACTCCTTCCCATTTCTCAATGTGTTGATCTGCTTTCTGAGCCCGCATTTCAACATACATGTAAGTAGAACGAAATAATAAATACATCAAGATAATTACCAAAAGTATCAAAACCCAGCCATAATAATAATAACAGTAATACTCAATAATAATGACATAAAATTATTAACAAGTAACAAAAACACTATTAATAATAGTAGTAATAATAACAGTACTAGTCTTAGACCTTGTAATAACAACAATAACAACAATGGATCAGAAAGCGCGCACTGTTATTATGCACAAAATTAGAGTTTGCATTGTAGTTTTACCAAAGATCGTTCCAGCCCATATTCCTTGCAATGTCCATTATATCTCTAACTCATTCAACAAAATACACACTAAATAAATAACACACCAAGTACAAATTGTACGTGAAATTATATTAACACTCAAAAGAAGTAGTCAAAGATCATTTATATATACTCTTTCTACAGAGCTACACGGGGAGAATTTAAAGATATTTCAAAGATATTCACTCTAAAAAAACATACCTTATGGTCAAATGGATCCATAACAACAGGCTCCTCTCTACGTAAGGCCATAAAAATACCACAATATTGTATTTTAATTTATCGTTTACATGATATCAATTATTATTGTTTTTGCATTACAAGGTCTAACATTCGCTTACATTTGACACATGGTTTAAGAGATGGAATCATGTAATTGAAATGTATGTATAATAAAAGAGGGACCAATCTAGAAAAATGAGAAATTGTTTTGGGACTATCTAAAGAACTAGGAAACTTATTATCTTAAGAAAGAAAAGTATTTATGGTTAATGATTACATGCATCATGCATGCTTACCTTGGTGAAACAACCATCCCATTATGTTAGGATAATTATTGTCTATTTATTAGTATCTTTTGATTTCTCTTATGTCTTTTGGTTTCTCTGAACCTTTCTCTTGGTTGTATTTATACTGCTCATGAGAGTGAATATTATAAGATAGATTTTCCTTATTCATGTTTGTCCATTCTATTATGGTATGAAAGCCGAAAATCTCACATCCCTTCTCATTCTTCCTCGCAAACTAACCTCTTTAGAGTATTCTTCAGTTTGAATTGGTTTAATGGCAGACAATGAAACTGAGGACGAAAACTAGAAAGTTATTGCTCAATATATGGAGGACAATATCAACATATGACTTGTCATCCAGTGATAATCATGGGATGATTATCACTCAGGTTTTTTTTGAAATTAAAGAAGTGAACTATGAAGAGTGGGCACGAACGATGCACACTGCCTTCAGAGCTAAAAAGAAGTTTGGATTTGTTGACGGTTCTATTCCAGATCCGGAAGAAGATTCACCACACTATGATGATAGGTGGACCAATAATTATCTATTGATGTCCTCGACAAGAAAATCCATCGAACCCACACTAGCTAAGATCCACAATCTCACAATATTGAACGAGTGAAATATTTGTGGGATGATATTCAATCCCAGTTCTATTAAATTAATGGTCCTCAGATTCAACATCTCAAATGAGAAATCGTGGATTGCAAGTAAAAACGGCCGACTGTTTCCACCTACTATGGGAAGATGAAGAAACTTTGGGATGATCTTGCTGGCCTTGAACAATTTCAAGTTTGTACTTGTCATCAGCGGAGGAGCTGGGGAGGGGCATGAGGGGGCAAGCGCCCCGGCTTCGGGCAATTTTTTTAAGTACTATTACTTATAATATATATAATGCCCCTCTTTTTTAAGAAATAAATTCCAATTAAGGATAATTTTAGATTAAGTTTTAAAATCAATACAAAAAAACTCGCTTGTAGTCACGGATTTAGTCACGGATTTGGTCCGTGACTAGTTTGTCACGGACTAGTCACGGACTAGTCACGGAATTTTAAAAAAAAAATAGTCACGGATTTGACCGTGACTATGACCGTGACTAAGTTTAGTCACGGTCAGATCCGTGACTAAAAACCTCCGATAGCCCCGATTGCGTTTCCGGCGTGGCTTATTTTATTCCGGCGATTTAGTCACGGACACATCCGTGACTAAATCCGTGACTAATAAAAAAAATTAATTTTCTAACTCCCAGGCATTACTTCACAACGGTATTCTGTACGGATAAAACTAGTCACGGACATGTCCGTGACTAATTCCGTGACTAAATTCATAAACGTAACGTAGGTTTAAACGTAGTGATGCATTAAGTTAAATTAAGTAAAATTAGTTAGCTAAACGTACGTTTTAGCTAATTAAGTTAAATTAGTTAAACTTTTGATAATATTAGTTAAATTTAAATATTAATTAATTGAAATGTGTTTAAAAGGGATTGTTATTTAATTAACGAAATAAATTAGTTAAATTTAGTTTGGATTAAAACATCACTTATATTTTGTGCATTATTATTGTGAATTGTGTATAATTTATTAATTCAAATGAGTTTATATACATGCTCAAATTATTGGATTTAGTCATATTATTTAATTTAGTAAATTGTTAATTGTGTATTACTAATAAGATTAAATGTTATTAACGTCATAATTTAGTGTATTTAATGTTGAAACGGATATTATTGGTTATTTGTTAACAATTGAAATGATTAATGACATTATATTAACGTATTGGCTAGTTCTTGGTTATTAATAATATTAATTGAACATTATTGTAATTAATAATATTCAATTGCATTGAACTTTAATTAGTAAAATTGAATATATTAACAATATTAACTTTAATATTCAGAGTTTTTAATAACCTGTATAATTTTTTTATTATAATATTCAGGCATTATGTATAGACAAAATAGAAGTTGGATGTATGATAAACATGCGATATTGTACGGAATGCGATCAAATTTTCTTGAAGGAGTTGGGGAGTTTATTGCGTTCGCACAAGAACACCCGGCTTATATGAGTGGTGATAAAATCAGATGTCCATGTTCAAAGTGTAAAAATCTCAAATTTAAAGACCCAGAAGAAGTTGAGTGGGATTTGTACGCGGAAGGATTCGTTCCCAATTATTATAATTGGACATCTCATGGCAAACCTTTGGATCCATCCGTTTTACCACAAACAGTAGGTTCGTCTCGTAACGTCCCTGCAGAGATAAGTGTGTGGGGAGACCCTGCTGAAATGAGATGGGAGCAACGTATGGCATATGACGCATACGGTGCATCTGTTTTAAAAGCTGGCAATCAACCCCTGTATGCTGATTGTGAGGGATACTCTCAGCTATCCGCCGTTACAGAGTTTATGAACATAAAAGCTGAATACAGTCTCCCTGAAACTTGCATGACTAGAGTTTACAATGGCTTGTGTCTCTGAAGTTTCCAGATGGCTACTGCTCCAACTTGTCCAGATGCGTGGACATGAACAAACTTACAACGACGTCGAGCATGAAAACTCACGATGCTCATTTAATCATGCAAAGAATTCTCCCAAATGCACTGAAAGAGATGTTTCTTGAACACGTATGGTCCTGCATTACTGAGATCAGTTTTTTGTTTCAGACGATATGTTCCAGTGTTTTGGATGCAGCATCCCTCCGGAGACTAGAAGAGTCTGTTCCTATGCTGATGTGTAATTTGGAAAAGATAATGCCTCCATCGTTTTTCGATGGAATGGAACATCTTGTACTACATCTTCCGTATGAGGCTTTGACTGCTGGCCCCGTCTTCTATCGCTGGATGTACAGATTTGAAAGGTTAGTCACAATTTCATTTATCTTTGAATATTTATTTCATAACAACATTAATTTGTTTACCACCTTGATTTTACATTGCAGGTTTCTTGGAGAGTTGAAAAAGTGACCAACAAGGCATATGTTGAGGCTTCAATTTGTCAAGCGTATCTTCAACAAGAAATCTCCACGTTCTCATCTTTTTATTT